ATAGATAGATAGATAGATAGATAGATAGATAGATAGATAGATAGATAGATAGATAGATATTTTTCTAGATTTTCACGGCTACAGGTATGCAGGTCTTGGCGTGTTCAGGTCTTTTCCCGTGTAAGATTGAGAGTATCTTGGCGACATTTTGATGAGGTCCCACTCTCCATCTTCAGGCTGGTGCTTTCGGCTTCATGCTTGTGAGAGCAAAATAAGCACAAAATAAGTTCGCACAAGCACGAAGCCGAAAGCACCAGCCTGAAGATGGAGAGTGAGACCTCATCAAAATGTCACCAAGATACTCTCAATCTTACACAGCAAAAGATCTGAACACGCCAAGACCTGCATATAGATAGATATAGCTATAGCTATAGATATAGATATATGTATATGTATAGATATAGATATAATATAAAAATGCTTATTTAATTGTAACAAAATTGTAAATGGGCTCCTAATAACCAGGCAACACCCCACCAGCCTCCACACAAGAAGAGGACCCCCTGAGGCTAAGCTCCATGTTTCTCCCTCCGCTTCCAAGCAGAGAAGGGCCCCTCCCTGTGTGGAGGCCGGGGGGTGGGAGTCGAGCCCAGAAAAGCTCAAGCTCTTGCCTGCACAAACAGGCTGGTTATTAGGAGCCCGTCTTCCTCTGCGCTCTTTTGGTGTATGCATTTGGTTTCCCACCCTCCCCCTTCTGCTCCATGCCAAAGGAAAGCCAGCCGGGCTTCTCCTTCCCTCCCCCTGCTCCCTCTCCCCCACTCAACCCTACTTCGGGACAGAGGAGGGACACACTGGAAACGTGGGTTGGCATTTCCAACACGCATTTCTCCAGCGCTCGCCCATAATTCTTCATGTTCCTCCAGGCCTGGCTTGCTGAGGGGGGAGAGCAGCCCTGACCCTTTGGCCTTCGGAAGTCACCCCTTTCCTAAGGGGCCTGTAGGGGGCGGGCATAAGCGCACCAATGTTCCTACCGTCCCTGTCCCATTGTTTCTTTTATTTTTCTTATATGTACCCACTTCATGTATTCATAACTATGTATATGCAAGTAGCGCAGCGTTCCTGCACCTTCCGGCCATCTCCATAGCCGCTTCAGCCTGCCTGTGCTGCCAGCCCCCTCTTGCTGCAACCATCACCTCATCCTGCCCGGCCAGGGCTGAGCTGCTTTTTGCAGGTTTGCGCTCGGCCGAAGGGTGGGAGCCAGCGGGTGGGCGGGCCATAAGCCAGGGCGCAGCCTGGATTAATTGCTTTGGGGGGACATTTCTCTGCGGCCCACCACAATTTTCTCATGGACCACCAGTGGGCCGTGGCCTACCGGTTGGCGACCCCTGGTCTAAACTCTTACTTGTCAGAGGAACCAAGGTCCTCTGGAAGCCTCCGTCTGTAGGGTCTCCTGCTCGACTAGAAGACCTCCAAGGTCCCTTCCAGCATTCTGTATTCTGTGGGAGGAGGAAGTTCTTCCACAAATGTGGAGCAAGCGTTGGTCGCCTGGGCTGCTTCTGCCCAAAAGAGACCTTCTGGGCTGCTTAAGGAGCTATATTAATAATAATAATTAGTTAGAGTAGTAGAGTTGGAAGGGACCTTAGAGGTCTTCTAGTCCAACCCCCTGCTTAGGCAGGAGACCCTGTACCATCACAGACAAATGGTTACCCAACCTCTTCTTAAAAACCTCCACAACTTCTGGAGGCAAGCTCTCCCACACTGATTAATTGTTCTAATTGTTAGGAAATTCCTCCTTAGTTCCAAGTTGCTTCTCTCCTTGATTAGTTTCCACCCATTGCTTCTTGTCCTGCCTTCTGGGGCTTTGGAAAATAGCTTGACTCCTTTTTTCTTTGGGGCAGCCCCTCAAATACTGGGACACTGCTATCCTGTCCCCCCCCCCCAAGTCCTTCTCTTCCCTAGACTAGCTAGACCCAGTTCCTTCAGCCGTTCCTTGTATGTTTTAGCCTCCAGTCCCCTAATCACCTTGGTTGCTCTTCTCTGCAACTCTTCCCAGAATGGATCATTGAATTCCCAGGTTACTGGGATGGAGGTTTAAGGGAATGGGGGTGTTGCCTTGTGCCTCTCCAATACTACTCCCTCAGTGAAGAAAAGAATCTGCACTCACCAGTATCCCATTCAGTTGCCGTAGCAAAAGAAACCGCCAGGAGCAGGAAGCAGACCAGTGGGGCCTTCATGGTTGAAGTTCTACTGGTCCAGCCTATGTGACAGAGCTGGCAATATATCCGCCCCTCAGCCTCCGAGGCCAAAGCCAGATCTGCTGAGTCTGCTTTTCTTCGCCCTGCTGGTGCCAAGTCCCAGGATTCCTTGTTGTGTCCACAGGCTTATCTTGTATTCCCCAAAGATTGTGGGGCATGTCAGGTTGACCCCTGGAGGAAGACCACGTAGGGGAGTATTCCTGCCACGTAGATCTCCCCACTTCATTCTTGGCAGCAGGCAGCTCTGCCCACTCCGGAGAGCCAATATTTTGCAAGGCCATGAATTGTGGCTGCCTTCCATGCAAATGTGCTGATGGGGAGACAACCGGGGAGGCTTGTAAGGCAGCAGGGAAGCCACAGACTGCCCGGAGTGCTGTGACCAGCTCCAAATCCTTGGTGGGGGGGAACCCAGGGGCTCCTCTAAGACAAAGATTTCCACTGGGCTCCGTGTGTTCTCTGAGCTTGGTGCTTTTCTTGCAGGCGTTTCATTACCAAACTAGGTAACATCATCAGTGCTAGAAGTGGAGGAGAAGGGGTCCTCAGTGTTCTCTGAGCTTGGTGATAAAATTGTTATAAAATTCTACATTTAAACAAAAAAAAAAAAACCCAAATGCACAGGTGGTAGAAATGCATAAGTGGTAGAAATAGCAGTAACTGTGAGAGAGATCTCAGAGTCCTAGTGGACGATCACTTAAATACGAGCCAGCTGTGTGTAGCAGCTGTCAAAAAAAGCCAACACAATCCTAGAGGGACAGAATCAAGGTAAGGTGAACACCACGTCATAATGCATTGCATAATCAGGTTATAAGGAGTAAGGGGGACATGATAGCAGTGTTTTGATATCTCAGGGATTGCCCCAAAGAAGAAGGGGTCAACTTATTCTCCAAAGCCCCAGAAGGCAGGACAAGAAGCAACAGATGGAAACTAATAAAGGAGAGAGGCAACCTGGAGTTGAGGAGGAATTTCCAAACGGTGAGGACAATTAATCAGTGGAACAGCTTGCCACCAGTAGTTGCGGGCAATCCACCACTGGAGGATTTAAGAAAAGATTGGACAGCTGCTTGTCTGAAATGCTATAGGGTTTCCTGCCTGAACAGAGGGTTGGACTAGAAGATCTCAAAGATCCCTTCCAACTCTGTTATTCCTTCTTCGGCTGAGAGTAGATTTCTGAACAACCTTGGATACCCATAGGAGCCTTCTCAGCCTCCTGGAAGCTGAGCCAACCTGGCTGGCATCCAGCCTGTGAGAAACCCCACTGAGGGAAGGGCAGCTTGGCACCCATTCCATGTGGAACCAACTGCTTATTCTCTCAGCAGGCTCTTAAGCACAACAGTCACACCTCTTTCCTCCTCCAAAACAGTTGTGTCAAATGACAGATTCTGCTAGCAGCTCTTTCGTCGGAGTTAATTGGAGTGTCTTACTTGGGACATCAACTCTTTCCCAAAATGTGAGACACCCTCTTCTCTCACGCACCCCACCCCCACTCCACATCTTCAAGCCAACTGCAGGAGGTAGACGGAAGACTTGTTTACACAACCAGGCTGCCAGTCACAACCCAGCCTCTGTTTCCTTCCCTTTGTCCTCACCAAAAGCAGATTCTGAGCTTAGCACAGGGGTCTTCAAACTTGACTGCTTTAAGACTGGTGGACTTCAACTCCCAGAATTCCTTCTTCTGTCATGTTAGCTCAGGAATTCTGGGAGTTGAAGTCCACCAGTCTTAAACTTGCCAAGTTTGAAGACCCTTGGCCTTAGCAGAATAACAGAATATCAGCGCTGGAAGGAACCTTGGAGGTCTTCTAGTGCAACCCCCTGACAAGGCAGGAAACCCTACACCACTTCAGACAAATGGTTGCCCAGTCTCTTCTTAGAAACCTCCAGTGTTGGAGCATTCACAATCTCTGGAGGCAAATTGTTCCACTGGTTAATTGTCCTCACTATTAGGAAGTTTCTCCTGAGTTCTAGGTTGCTTCTCTCCTTGATTAGTTTCCACCCATTGCTTCTTGCCCTGACATGATAGAACTCTTCCAATATTTGAGGGGCTGCCGCAAAGAACAAGGGATCAAACTAATCTCCAAAGTACATGAAGGTACGAGAACAAACCAATCAAGGAGAGAAGCGACCTAAAACTAAGAAATTTCCAGACAGTGAGGATGATTAATCAATGGAATTGCTTTTCTCCTGAAAGTTGTAGGTGCTCCAGCACTGGAGGCCTTCAAAAAGAGACTGGGTAACTACTTGTCTGAAAATTATATGTGATCTCCTGCTTGAACAGGGCGTTGGACTAGAAGACCTCCAAGGTCCCTTCCAATTCTGTTATTCTGTTGAGTACCTATCACAAAGTTAAAGTCCCTCTTCATGATTTTGGGGTAAGAAAATCCAAAACAGCGGACTTCCAGTTTGAGCTTCTTCAGCGACAGACCGAAACCTCGTCTCTGCGAGTCTTCGATCTGTGCTCGCCGCTGGAGCGCCCCGAGCCGGCTGGCTTCGGGGCTAAGCCACCCCGTAGAGGTGGTGAAGAGGGGGGAGACTGCCTGCAGGGTTGAGAAGAGCCGCATCTCTCCTCCCCAGCTGGCCATTACTCCCTTTCCCGAAGGCGGTTGCAGCGGTGGTCAGAAATGGCCACCACAAAGAAGAACTTGACTGGGAAAGAATGTGCAGGAGGAAGATAAGAAGAGAAAGTTTTGGTTGACTGGGTCAAACAGCAAAAGCAACAAATAAGGTACCCTGGAATTGAAACTATTAAAAAAAACCAATAACATTGTTTCCTAAGAAGATTTTTAAGCTGCAAAGGAGAAAGACAAGGGAAAAGATTTGGTTTTTTTCCCTCCTTTTCCTATACTGACAGCTAAGAGAGTTAAGCAAGAAATTGGGAAAAAATCCACTTTGACATCAATAGGCATTTAATGCTGAAAATAAAAAGTCAAGGGGATAATAAAGATTTCTGGATAATCAAAAGCTTTTGAAAACAGGAAAGGAGAGAAAAAGAATAAAAGGGCAGGATCTGGAAGGGAGGAGACTGCCTGGAATAAAAAGAACTTACAGCAAAATTTCAACAAGACTTCCAAAAGATACATTCTAACTGAAATATCGCAACAAAAACCCCAGGAAGAGAAAGTCAAAAAAGAAATAAGAAGATATAACTCGGGACTATCTGGATTACTTGATGATTTCTGGATTCTTGGTTATTGTATTTGAATGACTAAAATCAATCGGGTGGTTGTTTAAAACTGTTTAAAATGGCTCCACTTTTAGAAGAACTGAAAATGGAACTTAAAAAGTACAAAGAAGATGCACAAGAAGGGAGAGGTTCTTTTGGCTTTGTATTTCAGTTTTTAGAAATGGAGATTTGGAATTATGAGAAACAACAAGAAATGCCTGCAGAACAAGGAGATTGTGACAAAGAAGAAGCCATCTTTAATGAACAAGTAAACTTAGATCAGGGGAAAAAAGGAAAGGGGGGAAAGAGAATGGAAAGTTTAAGATTGGGAAAAACAACTCCAAAAAAAAAAAAAAGAGTGAAAAATAAGTATAAAATCAGAAAGCAACAGAAGAGGGAAATGCAGAAGAGAGAATTAGAACTAGACAGACAAGGGGGTAAAAGGGGGAGGGAGAAGATGAGAGAGAAGAAAGAAAGGAAAAGAAGTTATAAAGGACAGAAGCAAAATATAGAGAAACAGGGCCTATTTAGAGATAATGGGTGAAAATTTAATGGAAAAAGGGATTCTGCAAAGGTACATAAGATAGTATGGTTATATTTGAACTTCCGGTTTTGCCAGGCTTCGGAAGCGGCGGGTTTCGCGATCCCCGCGATCCCCGCCGCGCTAGCCGTTCTTGGTTCCTCCGACCCAGACGGGTTTGGAGGATAAGGTTGCCCCGTAGAGGCAACCGAAGACAGGGAGGATCCGGACAGGGGGTTGGGGTGTTCGCAGACCCCTTCCCCACCCGGCACAACCTCCTTTTCTCAAGTCGGTCCAGCGGCGGTCAGCAATGGCCGTCACAAAGAAGCCAGCAACTGGACAAGATCGTGCTGGAGGAAGAAGGAGAAATTTTTGAAGCGAAAGTTTTTTTGGCTGAACTGGGACTAGAAGATACATTTAATAACCTGAAATCTAAGATTTTGTTTTTTTTCCGAAAGATACTTTGTTTCCAGAAGAGATTTGCAAGCGGCGAGTGAAAGTGTTCAAAGTGAAAGTTTACTCTCCTTCCACATGGAACTAACAAATGAATGCTGAAAATACTACTATTCTATAAAAGGTAAAAATTCAAAGCTTCTTGTTATAAATGGGAAGGGAGAGGACAAAAGGAAAATTTATACTAAGATTTTGTTGAAGGAGATGCCTGGAAGATTCTAGAGATTGGAAGTTAGGAATTTAAAATATAGACTGGCCTTTTTTTCCCTTTGCAACTGATTTTAACCCAGGAAGAAGGGAAGAACTTTGTGCTTTGTTTGGATTGTTTGGTGATTTTGGGACTTTGGGAATTGTTTTAAGCTGGGAAATATCTTTGGCTGTTTTAAGAAGAAGAAGAAGAGGATTTACAATGACTTTATCTGCTGATGAACTGAGAGAGGAATATGGCAAAATAAAGAAAGACGATGTGGGAGAAATTTTTTGCTTTTTAGAAATGGCGCTTGCTACTTATCAGCAAATACAACAACTGATGGAAGAAGAAGAAGAAGCCATCTTTAACAAACCCACAGAGTTGCTTAAGAAAGGAAGGAGAAAGAGAGGAAAAAAAGAAGGATATAAGACTTAAAAAAATAGCTAAGAAAGAGAAAAATAAGATGCAAAATCAATATAAGGCTAGAAAGCAAAAGGAAAGAGAAATACAACAGAGAGGGAAAGTTAAGGGGGGTAAAAAGACCAGATGGGATAAGACAGCGAGGAAGAAGGGGGGAAAAGGCCATGAGGGTATGAAACAAGATGTGAAAAAGAAATGGTTTTTTAGGGATAAAGGGTAATATAATTTTGTTTTAAAAGGATTCTGCAAGGTACATAAGATAGTATTGTTGTATTTGTATTAGAAGTAGAAAATTATAATTTTATAAGACTTGAGT